ACTCTGGGCAGCTGAGGCAGGAAGATTGAGCTCAAGCCCAACTTGGGCAACTTAGTGACTTAGTATGTCTCAAAATTTTTAAAAGAGCTGGGTATGTAGCTTAGTATGAAAGGCCTAGGTTCAATGTCTTGTGCTGGGGGGAACAAAAAGAAAGGTGGAAATGAACAAAGAAAGAAAGAAGCAATCAGATTTGAGCCATAGCTTGGACTGGCAGTTCAGGTATATGAGTTGGACATTAGAAGAGAGGCTAGGGCTGTAGGAACAGCTTTGGAAGAAAACTCGGAAAGTCTGATTTCACAAAAGCCAATAAAAGAAAAGGTTTCCAAAGGAAGTGGAGGCCAAGCAGTAAATGCCACTGCAAGTGGAGGGAAATGAAGGCCACGCGGGACAGTAGGCAGATCTAGATGAGGACCCCTCCAGCCGAGGCAGGACCTGGAAGACTGAGCGGAGCCCCTATCACTCTGCATTCTTCCCATTGCGTGTGATAATGGGTATGAACTGGGATAGGATGAGAGAGGGAAAGAGGCTCAGGGCACCACTGGGATGTGTGCTTGGGTATGAGAGGCAGGTGTCGGGCTCACTGAGGTCAGAATAGGAGGGAAGCAGTCACCAGGGTGAGCTTCTGGGGATGTGCAGCTGGCCCCGGCACAGGGCTTCTACAGAATGATTTTCCCAAGATGAGAGGCATTGGGCTAGAAGGTCTGAAGCTCTAGTAGGGAGGTCCAGGAATGTTCGTTGCACAGGTCATTGTGGGGGTAAAAGGAGGAAATGACCCCACCCCCAAGCATGTGTGGGGAAGGGGAAGAAAGGAACAGCAATAGCAGCTTGGGGTCTGTGAATTCAAACGTGGGCAGAGGTAGCAGGGGGAGTTCCAGAGGTGAGTTTGAGAGGTAGCTGTTTAAGCAGGAGGGTTCTGGGGGAGGGTGTGGTGAGCAGCAGCCACTGGGGGTCTTTGTGGAGGTGCTGGACAGGAAAGGGAGGAGAGTGAACTAATGGAGACCACTACATAAACAGGTCCATTGAAAGCATGCCGTGGGGGGCAGAGAGGCAGATGGGGACCCTCGGTGGGAACCGACAAGAGCCTCTGAGATCCAGGTGGGCTGGGATACACAGGAAGGTCTGAGGGATGAGGGGCAGGAAAGGTCCCCAGAGCACTGGGCAGCAGGCCTGAACCTTAGAGGGAAAAGAGCCCTTGGTCCAGGGGGAGGAAGGGCTCAGGGTGGGCTGTTGCCCTGAGAACAGGCTGGTGCTGGTCTGGGAAGACGTCTAGGAGGCGTCAGTGTGAGCTGCAGTAAGGACAGGAATCCTCTGGCACCTCAGGGGCACCTGCAGACCACAGAGATGTGAGGGCACCAGGCCCACACTGTGCACCTCGGCCCTGATGGCTCACAGCTGCAGTCCACTGTGCAGGAAAAGGGCAGGGGGAAGCCCCCAGCCTCCCTGCCTGGCTCTACCTCCCACTCCTCCGCCCTCACCCACCCTGTGACCCTGCGTGCATAGGGCTGGGCCTCACCTCGTGTCAGGGCTCAGTGCCCTCCATGCTGCCCACACTATGTGCAGCGGGTACCCTCACCCACCTGCCCAGCCAGGAACAGGAGCACAGAGAGGTGTCTTCTGAGTATATCCACTCACTACGGACACATCGGGAGCTGGATTCAAACCACTTCTCTTTAAGGCCAAGAGCTTCACTGTCACCCATGAGCAAGACATTCAGGTGACGCTAAAGCCCTCAGCATCTCTCAGGGCTTCCCAGTGGCCTGACTCCCAACTGCTAACAGCAGCCCCTTGAAATGGCACTTGGAGGACCTGCCCATCCTCAATAATCCCCTAGTGCAGCCTGCCTGTGGCAAACCGGCTGGCTGCAGGGAGTCTGTGGAAGTGTCCACAGGCCCTCCTGCTGTGTCTCTAATTAAACCAGCAGGAGCATCTGTGCTCAAGACATATGTGCAGTAGGCTTTGCTGAGAAGAGGCCCTGCTACCGCCCTGCACCCCTCGGGGACGGATCCATGTACCCAGGGCTCTGTCATACTCACTTCTGTGGAGGCACCTTGCTGAGTGCCAAATCCTCCCAGGTGCACGGAGATGAGCTCCTGCCATGTACCCACTTTGGCCCAGTCCCAGGATTTTCATTCTAAAACACTCATGGGGCCAGATGTGGGGGTGCACACATGTAATCCCAGCACTGTGGCAGGCTGAGGCAAGTTCCATTCCAGCTTATGTGACTTAGTCAGACCCCGTGTCACAATATGACAGGGCCGAGGGTTCAATCCTCGCTACAAGAAAAGAGGGCGTGAATGACCCTTGGGTCTGGCCCTCTTGCTGCACCCCTTCTGTCCTCCATGAGCACCTCTCTCCTCTTGTGGCTCACAGCTGAGCATTTGGGAAGCCCCTGCCACTACTTGGTGTCATATTTCCTTGCACCATCTTTCAGACATTCATACTACCCACAGGAAGACAGCAGATAGAAATAAGAGCAAGAGGGAGACGCTTCCTTCCTTTGGGACACACATAGCATCCTGGGATGTTTTCCCATGCAATAAAGTGGTTTGGGATCCGTGTTCTTCTTTCTCTCCTTTTGCTAACCTAAGCCAATGGAAACCCAGGATTAGTACAAGCAGATCTCATCCATTAAGTGCTGCCTTCCAGACTTGGAGCTCAGCCCGGCACAATGCCATGTCTAAGTCCTCAGACAACGCTGTGAAGCAATCTTTAAGTCCAGCTTGCCTGTGAGGAGTCCGAGGATCAGAAGGGGTAAGGGACTTTCCCAGAGGCACACAGCTGGGAAGTGTCCCAGCACTGAGACCCACCAGCCCCTCCTAGTCCACACCACAAGCAGACGGCCTGCACGTGCAGCAGAACAAGTGACTGCAAGTCACATTAGGGGAGCTCTGTTCCCCTCATCCTTGTGGCAGGTAAACACAGGGCTGGATCAGTATTACTGAACCATTTTGAAGGTGCAAGCCTCCAAGAAAGGTGAAAATGTCCCTACCAAGTCCCCCAGGTCTGGCAGCTGGCACTTCACAGTAATGGTGGCTCCAATACCAATATTCTCCTCCCCATGCTGGCCTGGGACCCCAGGGGCAGACTTCTCTTCCTCCTCACTCCCACCAGTAATGCTGGACAGTGGGCAAGTTCGAGCAAGGGACAGGGCTGACACTCCTGGCAGTGAGCGCTTGGCTTGGTCCCTGCACCTGTGACCTTTGCCAGGCTCCCACCCCCAGGGCATTGCTGTTCAGATGCTCCTGTGAGCACGGTGATATGTACAGTGCAAAGCTGTAAATAAGAGGAGGTGTGAAAATGGTGACTAATATCATGTTTGTCATGAAATATTCCATCCAGAAAATAGTATAATGTGCTTTCCCCTAAACCATTAATAGCATGGTGTTGACACAGTGGATTCCAGGTGATGTGTTTGGGTGGATGAGACTGGCATAGCCCAGACAGGAGCGGAAACTCTGCTGTGTGCAGCTGCTAAGAGCAGGGGCAAAGACATGGTGTCAAAGTTCACACGGCAGGAAGAAGGCAGAGCAGGGGTTCAGATGCTCTTCGGGTCTGCGAGAGGGTATCTGTGGGGTGTGGGTATGGCTGTGTGCATATGCACGTGACTGTGCTGCATATGTGTGTGTTCTGTGTGCATGCGATCTCCTCCTTTAACGGCTAGCGTGTGGCTGTGGTCAGTAATATCAAGAGGCAGCTCAGGAATTCACTTCTCTGACTGAACAGATACTAACGTGCTTCCCTATTTGCTTCAGACTTCATTCCAAGGAGTGGAGTGTCATGGAGAGAATGAGCCCTGCCCTCTGCACCCAGTTCGCTGCTCAACTCCCTGGCTCCCCTGTGGGACTGGAGGACGGGAGGGGACAAACGTGCCTTTGCCCAGTCACTCCACACCTGGTACAGCCCATCCGCAGGACAGCTGTCCTCGCAGGAGGGAGCCCTCCAGGGAAGGCGTGCTGCCCCTTGACTTCTGACCCCACATGCTTGGAATGTTTAGACAGGCAGTTTAAACATGTCAGGGGTGCTGATAAATCGGGCCACAGTTTACACAAGAACCTAGACAGATGTAAATGCACTTCTCGGGCCTGTGCAGGGGCCTGGAGACCAGGCAGCTCTCCCTACAGCTGCATCCCTCACATTTTGCAATCCCTTGTCTGCAGAATCAAGGCAGCCAAGTCTTGGAGCAAGGAAATCATCTACCCTGGACCCCACTGGGTGGATGGCGGCAAGGCCAGGATAAGGAAAGGAGGAGGGAAGGAGGAAGAACAGCATGAGAAGAGACACAGAGAACGAGCGAGCCACTCCCCTCTGGACCCCCTTGCTCCCTGTACCCCCTTGGCCACATGCCTTCCCTGATGGACCCGTGTGCAGTACTCCAGCCCAGCTTCTCCCCACTTCTCCCCCTGCCTCAGTGTTTTCCAAGAACCAGTCCTGGCTAGCTGTGTGCTCAGCTGCCCATTCTCACCTCTGCCCAGTAACCCACATGCCCAGAAGAGCCAGAGTTAGACCAGGGCACTTGTGGCCCCTTTCCCAGCCTGGCAGTCAACCTAGAGGGAGTGTTCTGTGTACAGCAGCACAGTCATGCATTCATCCAACAGTACGTTGGGAATGACTGAGTCAGGCGGTAGAGCTGACCTGAGCTGGGCCCATAGAGACAGAGCAGCCCAGGTGGAGCCAGCTGGTGGGACCAGGTATGTGGCCTGATCATAAATGGCAGTGTTGTCCAGCACTGACCCCACTAAGTGATTCGTGTGGATGTTTCTTCCTGGCCATCCCATGACCATCCATGAAAGATGCCTTTGTTTCCACATGTACACTGGAAGGCACATGGGGCACAGCCATGGTGTAGAAGGTCATATGGCAGGAAGAAGGAAGAATAGGGGTCCAAATCTGGGCAGTCTGGTTCCAGCACCCAGGAGCTTTATGCCATGTTCTATTACTCCTCAGAGAGAAAATTCTAGAACAAATCTAGACTTGAACTTATCATGTTTTTGTGTTTTTAGAGATTTGAGGAAAGTCAAGGCCGAACCGAGAGCAAAATAGCCTTTTACCAGGCGCTGCAGAACTCACTGGGTGGTGAGGACTCAGATGCCCGAGTCCTGGAAGCAGCCACGTGGTACTACTCCCTGGGACACTCTGAAGATGACTATGCCTCCTTCTCCCGGGCGCTGGAGAACGCCACCCGGTGAGCCAGCCTGGGACATGGGCCAGATGGTGTTCAGTGCTGAAGAGGCTGAGGGCCTTGGGCTTTGTTTGTGGTGTCCCTTCCCCTTCAATCCATCCACAGCACAGGGGCACTGTGAGGGCAGGCCTGGGGTAGTATGGGTGCCCCCACTGCTGGGAACACTGGCCAGTGGAGAAACGGGAGCCCAGCTCTTCCTGGGAGAGTGGGAACCACAGGGGCAGACACGGTGCCTGCCACAGGTGGCTGCAGTGTGTGTCAAGGCCAGCACTCAGCACAGAGAACCTGACCTGGCCTCTCGCTCTCCGTGCCTGGCACCTGTACTCTGTCTGCCCTTGGCCCCACCAGGAGGGGATATACAGCCTTGAAGGCAGCTGCATGCTCACAAGTCCTATAGCTGAATCCACTATGGCCAGAGTCCACCTTGCACGTGGAAATCAGGGGTCTTGTTCAGGAGGTCTTGGGCACAATGTCACAGCCCAATAAGGAGAAGCCCACAGCTTTGGGGGGCCATTAGGCCCTTTCATCATGGGTGCCACTTCTTGTACTCGCTGCTGTATGGTCACCTTGCCCTCTTCACTCTCAAGCTTCTCCCACTTGGAGGGACTGCCTGGCTTCACCCTATGAGAGCTAGGGGCCGCCCTAGGCCTCTGCTATTCCCAGCACACACCCCGCACAGTGCTGCTCGAGTCTCCCTCTCCCAGGGAACCAGAAGCTCATGGAGGTGGGAACTGTGGCTTCAGTGAGCACTCAGCAGATACACAAGGCCCCAGTTTTAAGAACAAAGAAGTATGCAGGCTGCAGCTCTCCCTTCCTCCAGAGGCCCTGGAGAAGAGGCCTCAGTGGAGATTCAGCTCTCATCTCTGTGGTCCCAAAGTGTGCTTAGCTCCTCTTGCAGGACCCACCTCCAAATGGGAAGGGAGAAGCCTGTGGGGGTCAGGGTCCCAGGGGTCGTGTCTCCACCTACCCCCAGGCCCATCAGGCCTTCTTCCTTCTCATCTCGGACACAGGGTCAGTATCGCAGCTCAGACCTCATGAGCCCACGCTGGCCCTGACTCGGCTGGGCAGGGTGAAATGGAAGACAGTAGAGGCTGTGGTTGCGATCTAAGGGTCACCAGCTCAGAATAAATCTCTGTGCCTCCCACATGGTTCTTGGGGCCCAGAGAGACTTTGATTTCCCTCTAATGGAGAGCTAGGTCTGAAGCAAGCAGCCAACAGCTATTTCTGGAGGCCCAGCCTTGGGCCAGACTGAAAGCACTCACAGATACCCAGTGGCTGACCCGCAGAGACTCCCCACCACATCCAGGCTACCCCTGATCATGCTTTGGGGAGAGCGTAGGGCCTGAGATCAGCAAACCAAGCTGTTGCTGCCTTGGTGCCTTGGATTTAAAAACAGCCCTGCCTTGGGGTAAGAGCTGAGGCCGGAAGAAGGCAGCAAGGTCAAGGGAGATGTCACTGAGGAGGCATATGCCAGTCCTTCCTTGGCTCAGGCCCTTGCTGTCCTGGCCAGATGGGTAGCCACCTCCTGTGGGCTTCCCTAACTCCAGGTCCCTGGATCAGATCTCCCCTGGGCAGCATGGCCTCTGCCTCCAGGTCTGATGCCATCCTGTCCTGCACACCAGCAGAGTTCAGCTGCCATCACCTGCCTTTGCAGACCTGACACTGGCTCAGAACCTCACTGACACGCTCCCACTGCTCTAAGGCTTACCAGGTGATGCCATCCCTGCAACCAGGAAAGGGGTCATGCTCCTTTCCTAAGGGCTTCCATGGTCTTCTTAGTGTTGGCCCTTGCAAAGTCTCCGCCGCACTCTAGGGCCCTGGCCCTGTTTCTCAGGTGAGAAGATGAAGATCAAAGAGCTGAAGGGACTGCTGAGCATCTCCACTCACCCAGCAGGGCTCTCAGGATTCAGTCTAGTCTCACAGTCAGCCAGAACCTGTCTGTTCCTCACCGGCTGCCTGTCTCTAGGCACACAGCCCCAGCCTTCACCTTCCCACCGAATCTGCTGCTGGAAGCTGCCACTTCCGGGATTCATTCGCACCCCGGCCCCCAGGGGTGCTAAGGTGGGATTTAGGTATTCTGAGGCCAGGAATCTCCAGCTCCCCCGCCCACCATTTTGAACCAGATCATTCTGGGTGTGGGGGCTGCCCTGGGCTGTGTAGGATGTGTAGCAGCATCCTAGACGTCAGTAGAAACTTTCCACCCTCTGTCCTAACAACCAGAAACACCTCCAGGAATTGCCAAAAGTTCCCTGGGGCAAATTCACCTCTAGTGAGAGTCGCAGGTTTAAAGGTATCATATGCATAAAACATCTCTGAGGACTTTGTCTTCCCTTAAAATGTAGTTATTTACCTCCTGCTCCGTAATATTTTTACTCTGTTGCTATACCGGGTGTGGTCCCAAATCTTTGTGTAAAACAAACATTCGAGGAAGAGCTTCACACCATGGCCTTCATGGCCCCTGAGCTGCATCACCATGGTGCCAGCTTTGGATCTCGGTCTGCTGTAAACCAGAGCAGACCACATGCCGCATCTCAGCTCTTCTGCCAGGGCCGCAGCAGAGCCCCTCTGAAAGGGGCCGGATGTGGAGAGCAGCGTCCTCTGCAGGCTGAGGCAGAGGAGCTTGGGGGATGAGGGGACCTTGGGGGCCCTGGCTTGGGAGAAGCTCTCGCCTGGCCAGCTGTCCACAGAGCTGTGTGTCACCAGGTTGCCTCCTCCGTCCTCTCCCTAGGGACTACTTCATTACCTGCCCTACAATCGACCTGGCCAGACTCTGGGCAAAGAGCACCCGAGGAAATGTCTTCATGTACCACGCCCCGGAAATCTACGGCCATGGCAGGTGAGGGAGCTGTGTGACCCTAGTGGGTGCAGGCGGAGAGAGTGGCCTGGCAGGGTCCTTGTCACTGCTATGAGCCAGAGGGAGTCTGAGGAAAGAGGGGACTGAGGTACAAGTCTGGGATCAGTGACATAGGACCCTCCACCTACCTCTCTGAACCTCAGTTTCATCGTCTGACAAATGGGAAGAGTAGGAGCAACCACTTCATTTATCTTGGTCCTACAGACAGAGGAAGTAAAGTAAGAGAGGTAGGGAGCTTTGTCAATGATGGTATGGTTTGCAACTGGCATCTGGTGTTCGGTATTGATTGATTAACTTGGCTTGGGCATTATTCTTGCATATTACATGTCTAGAAACAAATCACTTGCTTTAAAAAAATGATTTTTTTCCAATGTATGAAATAATAAGTCTTTTCCAAGACAAAGGAAGGGAGCCGGTGTCCTGGGTCTCTTTTCCTCTCTCCCAGAGGCCCATGCAGGCCCTCGGCTCCATCTCTGAGCACAGGGCCATTGCACAGTCCAGACCTCAGGTGACCTTGCTGACCCTCATGAAGCCACCAGTCACCCCCGCAAAGGTGCTGCCTCTAAGTAACATCACCATGAGAGCTCTTCTCCATGAGCCTTGGACGGGAGGGGCATTCAGACCACTGCGATGAGCTGGAGCTCCAAGGAGCTCCATGTGACTGCAAGACAAGCAGCTGGCTGGTGACAGAGCAGCAGCCTTCCATGATATCTCTCTTTCCCCTATGACACGCACTCCCTGCACAGGGCCATCTGATTTCACCTCCCCAGGGCCCCCAAGTGGTTCAGACTGTGGTAGGCACCAGCAGCAGCTGTGGGGTTTGGGTGGACAGGAAAGGAGCCATGTCACCCGATGGTGACAGGCACCACAGTGGGGAGCCAGTGGGGAGCATGTTCCTGGAATCAGCCTTAGCCAGGCACTTAGATTCTCTCCCTCCGCCCTGGTCCCTTGTCGTTTCTGCATTCCTCCCTTTGCAGGTAAGGTACAAGGCTGCTGTGGCAAAGTCAGTTCCTCGGGAGCCTTAGTGATCCCAGCAGTCTGGGAGGTGAGGCAGGAAGATTGCAAATTTAACCCTGGGCTGGGCCATTTAACAAAGCCCTGTCTCAAAAGAGAAAGTTAAAAAAAAAAAAAGAAAAAAAAGAGGACTGGGACTATAGTTTGTTGTGAAAACCCTGAGTTTTCTGCCATGCCGTTCTCTTCCCCGCAAAATGCCCACAGCTTTGGTCCCCAAAGATTACAGTGGCAAAAGAATAAGAAATTCATCCACACATAAGGGTAAATAAAGCACTCTACAATAAAAGCATTCGTAAGACCCCAGCCAGAATGGGTGGTGCTGGGCCCCACCTGGGTTAGTGGGGGAGAGCTACAGAAATGGATCATCTCAAGCTATAGATGCTGAGGGCGGAAATCAAAGCGTGGGCTGGGGCAGCTCTCCTGAAGGAAAGGTGTTTCCAGCTTGTCCCCTGCTGCTGGTGGCCTGGACACTCTCAGCTTCTTCCAGGGTCTCTCCACACCACTTTCCTTTGTATGTGTCTGTCTCTGGCTCCACATCTTCCCCTTCTGCAGGGGCGTCAGTCACACTGATTAGGTCCCATCCTAACGACCTTGATTTGGCCTAATTACCTGTGTGTAGGGAGCCTTGCTTGAACAGGGTGGCATTCTGAGGTACTGGGGTTAGGACTCCAGCGTATGGTGTGGAGGGGACGCAGCTTGATTCCCAGCCCTGCCCTCCGCCCAAAGCAGCAGAGCCCTGCTAGGACCTGCTGAATGCGAGGCACCTGCGGCAGTGGCCTGGAGCTGGGGCCTCAGCAGAGTTATCCTGCACAGACTCAGGGGCGTCCTCAGTCTCCTGCAGCCAGACTGGCTTCTTCTGTTGTTGGAGTGACCTCCTCATGTTCCTCCAGGGACCTTTGAAGGGGCCCCACTGTGCTGGCTCAGGAAAATTCCCACAAAACAGATGCTTTAAAGGAGCCTCTAGCTCTCTCTCTCTCTCTCTCTCTCTCTCTGTGTGTGTGTGTGTGTGTGTGTGTCTCTCTCTCTCCTCCAGAGCCTCAGGCTGCTGACACAGGTCAGGATTGGGCAGGTGCTCAGGCAATCCTGCTAAAGGACAGCAGTGACTCAGCCACCTCATTGGATGATGGGGAACAAGTCTTTTCCACTCTAGCATTCACGTTCCGTGGGGCTCAGTTTCACCATCTGTAAATTGGGAGTAGGGAGGTGGGCATGGCTGGCAGTGGATTTTTCCATGGGGCCCAGGTCCTGGGCTTCTGTGAGTTGGAGCACAAGGTGTGTTGGTGCCTCCAGGGTCCTCTCTGTCTCACAGCTGGAGCTCTAGAAGTGCATCCAGCCTGCTCAGTTCGGAATGGTGCAGACCTTTGGTGCAGGGCATCTTCAGGGCACCCTGGGCTCAGGCTCTGTCATTTCTGGAGGAGATACACTTAGAGCCACTGATTCTTTTGAGATGTGGCCATATGCATGGAGGCAAATCACTGTCATGGTAAAAGGCAGGGCACTGGCATCTTCTCCTCTGTTAAGAAACATTCCCTTGACTCTTACCCTTTGTGACCTACAGCAAATCACATAACCTCTTCAAGGACTCAGGTTCTTCCCTGGACAATGGGCTGTTAGGATCATTCCTTTGTGTAGAGAACAGCCCTTCTGAACCCTAAGTGCTAGGAGTGCCCCTGTGTTCTCAGCCATTGGAGTGTGTCCTTGACAACATCCCAGCAGACAGCTTCCCTCTGCTGCTGTGACCACGGGGCCACCCACAGAGTGGACACTGGAATCGGCACACAGATCTCAGAAAAGGAGCCTATGATTGTTGGCAAGTTTATCCTTTCTTCCCGGGAGATAAAGTGAATTTCCCTGTTTGTCTGTCTCTGTTTCTTTTTCCATTTCTCTCTCTTTCTCTGCCCTGGAGCTGTCACACCTCTCATTTTATTTCTGGCTCAATCTACATGCTTAAAATATATGTGTGTGCTCTGCATTCTCAGCCATCTGTCTTGTACTCCTGCTTTCGTTAGCATATATTACATTTCCTGGCAAAAGCTAGTAAATGATACACAGTAAATTACTGCTTCCTTACAGACTGCTGCTGTTTGATCACAGAATATCAGTAAGGTTCTCAGATGCCCCACTGGACTATAGATAAGATTTCTGTCCCTGAAAATGGGGAGCAGGGAGAGGTTTACTTATGAGGAAAGAATAGACATGCTGGATGGGGGCAGGGAAACAAAGAAGCCAGAGCCTACAGAGTAAGGTGTAAGAATCACAGAATATGGGAGATGAGCTTGCTTCACTTCTTCATTTTGCAAAGAACAGAAGCCCAGGGAGGTATCAGGACTCTATTGCTGTTCCAAAGCCAGTAAGAGACCATCTAGACTCGAGATGCTGCTTCTGTGTGCACTCTCTGCAGTTTTCTCTCAGTTTTCTTTGCACCACATCAGCCCAAACCCTACTGAGTACCCGCCCTGGCTAAGTCCACTACCTTGCTCTGTGTCCTTGGGAAAGTCACTGAACCTCCCTGAGCCTCTATAGATGCATCTGATGGAATAACGATACCTGTTCCATACAGCTCCTGTGAAGGCCCAGGTAACTGGCACTGTGTTTAGCCCAAGTCTTGTATCTGGATGCCTGTGTGTGTGTGTGTGTGTGTCTGTGTGTGTCTGTGTGTTTATGCACATGAGTGCACACATGCACACAGACCTGCCAGGCTTTGACTATCACTTCTATTTATGTGAGAGTTAAATCAACTGAGGTTTTCATTGTCTCTCAACAACTTCTTTCACTCTCTGTCCTCACCTGTGAAATTGGTAGTTACCTCCACCTCCCAATGTGCACAATTCATGTTTAATGCAGTTCAGATGGCAGATGTTTGACGTTTAGTAGTGAGGGTTCTTTGCCTTTTAGAAAAAATGAGGCTCTGATAGGAAAAATAAACAAAAATGACTAAAACGTCAATAATGTTCCTCCTTTATAAGTTTCCCAACTTTAGAAACAAAGCCATGGGTTCTAGACTTGAGATGCTCTGGTCACCACTGTTTGCATTTCTGGACACTCCTGTACATTCCAGGGCCCTTAACTAGTCCAAATGCAAAATATTATCTTTTCAGGCAACTGTTGTCGTGTTTTAGGAGCAACAAACCAAAGAACATATTAAGCAGCTGGATTCCATCAGCCTTAGCTACATCCTGTGTGACTAACAAGTTTCTCCACATAGACGGGTATCAGTCAGTTTCTGAAACTGATCACTCCAGCCCCATAGCACAGTAGGGTTTTCTCTAACTTCCTCCACAGCATTGATTCACCAAACACATGCCTACTGCTGTACACAGTGCTGGAAGTGGATTAGCCCACGAGGTAAAGAGGGCTGCTGTCTGGACAAAGACACAGCTCAGAGCATCTGGTGGGACTGCAGGGAAGTAGGTCAACGCTGAGGGAGAACTTTCTAGAAAGGGGACATTTGAGCTGAGTCCTGGGAAACAAACTGTGACCCCACTGTAGACTTGAGCAGTGAGCAGTCCCAAAAGAAGGACTGTTAAATGCTGAGGTGCTGAGGTATGAAAGGCTGGATGAAGAAGGCCAAGGAGCTGGAGCCTACTGAAGTAGGGGAGGGTGCTTTGAGGTGTGCGGGAGAAGAAAGGTCTTGCAGTTCACTAAGAGCTTGTAAGTTCTTTCAGGCAAAGGGTTAGTGTCTTATGTGAGAGCCACTGCATATGTTCAAATAGACATATTATCTAGAGCATACAGTATTCTTTTTAGTCATACCCAAACACAGCTCACTGAGACACTAGGTGTCTATTGTTCTTGTTAACAGAGTATAGAACAAAAGTCTTGTTATCCAATGTGATGGTCAGTTAGAAAAAGCCATTAAAATGGGGAATTACGCAGACAGGACCATGGTAGCTATATAACTTCAACCTATCATTCTAACTTTAAACGTGTATTCCTTTCCCACTTTGGGGGGTGCTGGGTCAGAGGCT